TGGTTGAGCGGTCTAGTAAACGGTTGTGCCTTCCCCACTCCGGTCTTCTATATTTGCGCGGGAACGCAGGGTAACGTATTGGGCGTAGATAATCGCATTGGCCCCGGCATGGTTCAAGACAACATGCCGGGGCCCCCAACACACCTCACTCCCGTGATTTTAAACCAAAAAAAAACACCTATCCAACAATCAATAAGTGTAAATCACGACTGGCAGGTACAAAAAAAGGGAAATTGTAAAGAGAGAGAAGGCAGGTCGACGCAGTCTTCACTATCGTTATAAACAGAGAGAATGGAAAGAAGCGCGGGTCTAGTGAAACTTCCACGAGCGAACACAGGCGTCATGGCCAGTGCTGATGAGTTCGTTGTCCGACTTCCAAACCAAGGCGGTGACCATGTTAGCTGGATGGGCGTCTAAAAGTGCAGGAACAGGGAGACAAATTTGTGCAAACCAGAATTTTTTGGCGCTAGACGCCTCTGCGTGCGCGTGGCGATGGAGTTATACTTTTTGAACATTCCAAATTCCCGTTTTTTGCTTATTTTTACACAATATTCGGGACTGTGAACAAGGCCAAAGTCCAGTTAGTTAGTTAGTTGCACGCTAAGGTGGCGGAGCTGTAGTCGAGAGGCACACAAAAACTACACCGGACGTACTTCGGACTTCACAGATCTTAGAGGAGGCGGTGGGCTTGAACACGATGATGCTGCAGTCGAGAGAACCGCTCGCAAAGTGGTTCCCGTCGGGGGCCCAAGCAACACAGGTAACCCTGGCCGCGTGACTGCGCCACTCATTGACCTGGGTCAAACTTGGACAACCACTTCCAACTCCCTCGACCTGCAAAAAAGAGGGGACATCAAAGCCAGTGTGCCTGCGGCAATCAGTATGGTGTTCGGCACGAAAAAGGAGCGAAGGTGTACCTTAAATAGACGAAGATAACGCTCCGCGTCGCCAACCACGAGGTAGGTGGCGTCGGGGGAGAACGCCATCGCAGTGCACTCCCCAGACATCTTGGCGTTGACGTCGGCGACGTGCTTCAGGCACTTGCCACCGTCCGTTAAGAAGACGTCAATCAGGCCATTCTGAAAGACGGAAGGAATGCATGCCGCAGACGGCCTCCACGTTGAACACGCGGCAAAGGTGACACGGACTCACCATCATACCGACTGCGACGAGACTTCCGCACGGCGCGAAGCAGCCAGCGGTCGCCTCAGGAGGTATCTCCAGGCTGACCAGGGGGCTCAAAGACGCTTCGGGGGCCAGTGAGAAGAGGTAGAGGTGTTTCAGACAGACTGCCAACGCCAGGTCCTTTGTGGAGGACAGGTAGAGACCTCGTGGCTGAGACGCCAACTTCAACGACTGCCTAGAAAGACGACAATCGATCTGGGTTCGAGAGCACACACGCAGACACACACAAAACACACGATCTATCAGGGAGTTGGGTAGGGTAGTTGGGACTACAACTCCCACACGCTGGTTTGTGTTTAAAGGCCCTCCTTCAAAGTAAGTCTTCGCAGTCAGTGTTTGGGATGGCATTCAGGCATTTCCATATATTCAGCTATTTCTCATCCACACTCTCACATCTAGTATTTACGTCGTTGTGGAAATGCGCGGAACGCATATACTGACTTTCGATATATCCACTTAACCCCAAATAAGGTTATCGTCGATGGCAAACTTTTGCAGGAAATCTTCTGGCGAAATATTTAAACGTCGGATTCTTTAAAGACGAATTTTCTTTGGTTTTTAACCTTGATATCTCAGGTGTGGAATGACTAACTTGGATTCTTCACCATATGGAAACCCACAAGACATTCTTTGGATTACTGAAGTAAATTCACCAAAAAATTTTTCAGGAAATCTACCTGCTAAGTTGATTAGAAGGGAATTCGATGCAGAGGGAGTGCTACCTCAACGACATTTCAGTTCAACCAGTCTGAAGGGGTTTAGTGTGGTCTGGTGTTTTATAGCAGCCCATGCAAATTTGCACCCGCGAGTTTAACTAATTGAGAAAATTACCGACACGCAATTTGTGAATCGAGAGAGAGAGTCGAAGTGGGGATTATAATTGATGAAATACCGGTGAGTTAAAACACAAAATTCTATAAACCAGTGTGTCGTTTGAGCCAAACAGGCTTCACACACTGCCAAGTTGTGTTAGCCGAGTTAAGAAAGCTCCGCAAAACACCACACTGTTGCGAGGCACTTAGGGTGGCACTAAAAATGCTGGTGATGACTGTCGTTGAGACAACTACAGGCAAATCGACTAGCGACTCTTCTAAACTTCACGCGTGCGCAAACACAGTACCGACCTTGGCAAAACTAGATCACACAACAGGTACGAAAATAACCTCATTTTAAAGTGCTCTCAAGAATGAAATTGCAGTTAAGCAGTTTGAGAAACAGGAATTGAGGAGGCCAAATACCACAATTTTTTATTTGCTGTGTTTATTTTTACCGAAAAAGTGTGAAATCCTTTGTTGGCGGAACAGCCACCTGGCCATATTTGGCACAAGGCGCTGACTGGCTGATTGTCAGCCAATAGGATGACAGAACCGACTTGGACGTGCAAGACCCCGATCTCGACCGTTTTTTTTAGTAAAATATGAAACGACGTTTGCGAGCGGTTTCAGGGCACACGTTACCCCTAAAAGTACTAGTTGATTTAGGCTAAATGCACTTTAAAAATCACTCGTACACATGGGGAAGGGTCCAGCGGAGGTGTTTTGCTTTATTGAAAGTTTTCAAACGCTTCACGAAAATGGCTAGTGCCCATTGGGGACTCATACCAAGGGCTCGAAGAGGTTTAAATGACTAGCAATTGAAAGCACTCACTCATATTCTCCCTTCGAAAGCGAGCTCATAACGAGTCGATCGTCAATGCCGACAGTAGCCACCCGATCACCGCATGTGACGACACCGACGATGGTGGTAGTGTGAGCCTCCTTGCCCCTGAAGGGTTCAGCAAGACCCGTGGCTAGGTTCCATCGAACCATGAGCCCGTCATACGAAACCGTGATGAGTTGGTCGCTTGAGGTTGAGTAGGAAACGCGTTGAATTGGACGCGAGTGACCGAACATCACGCCCGTGGGCCGATCAAGCGCGGAGCAGTCGTCGGCGACGTCAAAGTAGGTCAGTGCACCGCTTAGGCCAATTGAAACGATCTTGCCCACCGTCCACACACAACCTAGCTAAAGTAGACACCGAAAAAGGTTCAGCCAAAAAAGCCTCTACAAGCTGTCTTCACTCCCAACTATCGGCCTCTGCATGGCCACATTTTGAAGTAACTTTGTCCAGCTTCTTGTTAGCTTTATAAAAGGGCTTTTCATGTTGCCAGCGTGATTATTAACCCCTGGATCCAGAAGGCAGTCTCCAATTAGCTGTTTTCGCAAGAAATGAACACGACCAATCAAATCAACCAATAAATTCGGCATTCTCACCACTATTTACTATGACCGCTAGTTCAATCAATTAAATATAAACGCACAACACAATGCGGTATAAGCCTTCGAGTAATTTAACAGTCCTAATACACAGAGAGCTCGGTTACAACATGCACACTTAATTTTCAATTTTGAGGAATGAATCTTAAAATGAATCCAAAATGATTCCAAGTTTTAAAAATGAAAGAAAGCGCAGACCAGCTATGCTCTTTAACTAGATCATTGGGGGGTGTTTTGCTCTGTCAGCCTAAGGTGACTAACTTGACTAACAGTAAACTCATTTTCGGTGAATCCATAGGTGAAATGTTTTAAGCAAAACGTCGTCTTTGACAACTAACCTGCATATTCTCCAGCTTATCCTCAAAGGCATATTCAGAGAGCAAGTCATATGGGCTGGCAGCACTCCACAGTTTGATTTTCTTATCTGCCGACACCGACACGATCCGCTCACCGGAGGGTGAGAAGTCTAGTCCATAGATGCCACCTTTATGAGCAGGCGAACCGATCTCACCGATGTGGTCCCCTTTAGCTGCATCATAGACAAAAATCTAGGCCTCATTAGGCGAAATAAACTGCCATACCTTTCCATCAGAACCCGCGGTTAAAAAGATGTCGCCTTCTGGGGAAAATTTGCAACACTGGACAAAATTGGTGTGGTTCTAAAAGGCAGAAGAGTGGACGGTGAATGTGAGAGGATCTAGGATTCATGGGGAACAGTAATGAGATATAGAGCAGTCCTATAGTCGAACACGTGCTTTCTGCGATACGATGTGATGCCGTTTGATCGTGGAGATCCTGTACGACACAAAACCAAAATCTCACAGTCGAGGACTTGCCAAAAAGTTCAACAAAATTGGACGATCCACAATGAACCACATTTAGGGAGTAAAGAAGTAGCAATTAAATCTTTAAGTGAACTGGTTTTGGGCTTAGGACAAGGCCGAAACAACAACATTGCTTGTTTACTACAAGAAAAGTTTCTCAACTGAAAAGAGAATGGGTCAGATCAACGACGAAACAGGCTTCAACCTATCGGTATGAGTTTAACAATTGCACGACAGATGGCGTTGACAATATTACCTTTAGGATTTTATTGAGTTTGAAAGGAGGTCCCTCGAAGAAGCATGCTGTGAAATCTTCGCTACCAGTTACCAAACGGAATGGTCGCGTTGGTTTGAGGTCAACGGAATTGATGGATTTAGACATTCCAACTATTTCGCCTACTTCTGTACCCATTTCGGCGTTAATAACTTTTCCGAATCTGCGGAAAATAACATTGAAAAAGAAGATTACTTTTCACCGCCTGTACCCCCAACAGCGATGCGTTGATTGTCGCTAGACCAGCAAACGTCCTTTATGCTAGACAACACAGGAAACTCGTTCTTTAGGATGTGTTCTTTTTGGGTTGTGTCCCAGATGTGAAGCTTTCCAGATTTATCTGCAGTAAGAGGTAACCTTAAAAGCACATTAGGCTTACCTCCAGAAGCCACGTAAAAACCACTAGGGGAATATTTTGCACATTGGACGTCAAAAGAATGCCCAATATATAAATCATTTTCCAAATTTGCCTACAAATACTTTCGAATGAAATGGAAGCATACCGACAGATCACGAATGACTACATTCTTTTTATTGGGATAAACAATAAATCTCCCTTTGGGGTGCGCACCAAGAATAACGCACTTGCCTCTTTCGACAAAGGGAACAGCAGGATACAATTTATCTAGGAAACATAAAAATGGGATGTAGGAAACATACTATGAGTCAAAGACATGGTCGCAAGCAAAAGTCGGAACAACAAGCAAATAAAAACTAAACCGTCGAATCAACCTTTAGGAAGCTAAATACTGAATATCGCGCACAAACTGTTTGGGAGTCTACAAGAGCATTAAATTATTCAAACAAAACAATTTTCTGAATTTTATTACACTAATTAACACAGGATAAGTAGTCTCCATGCTTAAATTTCTCTAAAGCTAGAACATATTACCTAACAGAATTAATAAGCACAGTAGACTTTATCCACTTGCTGCAAATAGGGCCTGAATGGAATTTATGTTTTGGAGGGAACATACCCCAATGAGACCACTGAATCCGGCTTAAGTACACATATTTTTATATAAAACATAATTTTTAATAGTCCAATTATATCCAAATGTTAATGGTGCATTAAGTTATTAGCGGTGGGAAATTTGCTCAGTTTTGGTATAAAATTAATAATCAGCTGGATAGACTTGTGCTACAATTGCACAATGTCTTCTCTTTAAAAAGCAAACTGGCTGTAGTGCACTAAAAATACTTGTTGTTTTACATGACATTTACGCCTGAAACTGAGGATCTAGAATTATATATGTAGCAATTTTTAATACTTAAAGATTTACCCATTAGGTCAGGTGAGCTATCAGCTGTCTAATAAAACTCTACGGCAGGCATAGCACAGGCGTTGAAATTTGCGCTAACATTTTGTCAGTAGTGTGCAAGTTAAAAGCGGTGATAGTGTGTTCCAATTAAGTCTGCTGGTCTTTAGGAAAAATCCAAGAACTTGGGACCCTTAATTTCACTAATATACTATCACGAAAAAGAGTAACATTGTTGCAAAAATAAAAATTAATTAAAAGTACTAAAGAATCTATTTGTTCAGTTTCTCATTTTATCCTTTCCGTGATTCTCGTCTGAGCCCTGTGTGCAGCATTATTTTAAACAAAATTATTTCACACATTTTTAGGGCTTTTTCACTTTCCCTTTATTGATTTTTCAGTTTTATATGAAAGACTGCGAACACAGGTTTTTTCTAAGCGGTTTTGTGGTTCATTTCAAATCCTTCTAACAGCCGAATCACAGTGGTGTCAGCATCCTTCCTGTTGTTTACACAGCCCCACATTTGGTATTTAAGAACATTACAGTGAGCAACATTTGTATGGTCTTTAAATATGTTAAGTCCTTTGTCATGGATCTGGAATAAACCAAAATCAGAATCCTATCATTTGTCAAATTACATTGGATCGAAATGGGATGACTAGTCCTTTACAGAATCACACTCTTCAGGAACTTAAAGTGGTTGTTTGTGTGAATGGCACCTTTTGGTTGACTGTGCCACCGCACTGCCTCTAACCCCAGGATAGGACATAAAATGACTGACAGTCGTTTGTTTACAGTTATTTTTTAATTTTTTTGTGAAATGTCGCCATCACGCCTAAATGTCCTTGCTTGCTTACATTACAATTTCTTCATGTGGTCTTTGAAGTCTATCATAGTAATTTGTATGTTCGCCACAAGATTATCAAAAAATACAGGTTTTAGCACGTAATTTCTCAAAAGACCTTTTCATAACTACTCATGCTGTTGCTGCTTGCCAATTATTTCAGGTTCCTTACACACAGAACTAAAAAAATTACTGTTTGTACATTCTTGAAGGTAGGCTCGTGCTTAGTAGATATTTCTGGCCAGGCCAAGTGTGAAAAGCAGATTCACGTATACCGGATTAATCTCTAGTGTTTTACCGCTTTTAATGGGAGATGAATAATCCCAAGTAATAGTCATTCAAGCCCATGAACTGCCACAATACGCAAATGCATATGCCTATTTTGTAACGGCGTTCAAAAATTCCCAAGCAAAAACCACCTCTTTGTGACTTAATTTCCCATCGTTGTAAAACTTTTTCTTACGTCAATTGGGTGTATGTGAGTGTGTGCATCAAGATTCATCAATGGTTTCTAAAAGTGAGGAACGGCCCACTTACAAACGGTAAATCTAAACGGAACGGAACTCACTCAATGCACTCAAATAAATTACTTAGACGAACATGATTCTAAGGGACCATATTGCGACAGAGCTCAGGAAATATTAACTGTTTTTAAATATACAGATAATGCAAATCCCTCCTAGAAAATACTTAATTTCTTATGTGACCTCCTCCACACCAATCCAGAGACAAAAGACGGATGTTCTTATGGTACTACGGTCAGAGCTAGGTGTGATGTCTTGATCACATGCGTCGACACACCGTCACGTCTCGATGAAGGGATCTTGTCTCGAACGCAAATGATTGCTTGGATCTTAAACGGCGTACCTGATTCCAGGCGCGGTGACTTCAGGTGCTTGTATTGTACTGGGGACGTCACGAAATTTGTCGTCGTCAATTTCACGGTCCACTAGCACATTAGACGATGCTTGTCGGCTAAAAAGTCACATATGGTGTGGTGTGGTTAATTGAGATGTACTTCTGCTTCCTCACAAAAAGAATTCAAGGTGATTACGAAGTTTTCAGCTTGTCCTTTTGATTTTGAATAGTAGCGTGGGAAACGGGTGTCCATGATGACGTGTTGTCTGTAGAACTCGGGGAATTACTGAGCTAAATTGGAAGCCGTTTTCAGACACAATGTCTTCTTGAATTCCTTGATGGTCAAAGATTTGAAACAGTGCCTGAATTTTCCTTGTTGTGGTAGACGGTTCCATAGGAAAGATCTCCGGCCACTTTGAGTGGACGTCCACCTGGACTAGGTACGAAACCCCGTTGATTAGTCCTGAAAAATCGATATGACCTCGGGAACAGGGCCGCTGTGACTGTGTCCAAGAAATCATCCACATCGCAGAGGGAGTTGCATCGCTGGAACGACTGCTAAAGGTCGTAACAAGATATTACACTTGAATAAACAATAAATTTTATTGAAGCAGGGATTCCAGGACCTATCTTGTCCCAACTAACCTCATTAGTTCAAGCACCTACATGGCATCTTCACTGACATGGCCACATTTGTGGTAGAAGTAGCTGCCACTGTCCAATATCAAACCAGAAAAATTCTGCAAGATATATAAATAAAGGTATGACAATTAGGTAAGAATAGGTGTATGAATTAATCTGTACAAAATTTTTAGCATATTTATTTAACGTAAAACAAATAGAGAACAAGGAAATTAATCTTGGAAAAATTGTCCATCGTTCTCCATGACCTTGGGCCGTCTTTCAGGCAACTTAAGAATGCCGTCGCGAAAGAATCTTACCGGCTTCAAGGCAACCAAGTCATCCAGCCGTTCAGGAGGCGTGCTGCTGGGGGCCAAGTCTGGTGAATATGTTGAGTGTGGGAGAACTTCCGATCCCACGTTCAAGAGGGTCTTCTGGGTCGTGCGACCAACGTGAGGTGGTGGTCAAGCATTGTCATGCAGCAGCAGTATGACCTGCCTGCTTTCTTGAACAGTACATGGCCTTTTCTGATCAAGTTCTTCGCTCAGTTTGTTAAGTTGTCGGCTGGAGCTTTCCGCAGTCAACATCTGACCGAATTCCAGGAGTTCGTATTGAAGAACATCCTTCATGTTCCACGAGATACACGGATACCAGATGCCTTCTTCAAGTGGACGTCCTCTTCCGGCATCTAGCCACGATACCTTTTTACGCTTGGGGTTCTTGTCACAAAAAAGCATACTTTTCATCACCCACAATAATTCTCAACAAGAAGTCCTTTTCTGTGCCGGCGGGTGTGTTCGGTCAACATACTTGGGGGCACCCAACTTCCAAGTGGATGACTCCTAACTAAGCTACATGCTCTTGCTGGGTTTGCGTTGAGTTTTCATTCAGTAGAGCCTACAATTCCGCGTCTTTACACATTCGTGGCTGCTGTCAAGGGTGCGGCTGGTCACTAAGATCGAAATCACCACCTCTAAAACGTCTACCGATAATTTCTCTTTCCATAAGCGACACAAAGTCGGCGTCAAGAACACCACCCACAATAATTTTCCACAAGAAGTCCTTTTTTTGCCGGCGGGCAAGCACTGAAAGGCATGTATTTATACGCTGACGTTGGGTGTGTTTGGTCAACGTATAAATACATTGAAGAATAAGAATTCTCTTAGTAGAAAATCGTTTAAAAGGCAATGCCATCGAATGTGCTGCTCAACGGCTGCCATCGTAACCTCTGATTTTCCGAGGGGCTACGTAACTCACGTAGACTTGTCGTTCAGTGCCGTGGAACCTTGCATCTGGTCACTTCAAAACCACAAAAGACCTCGAAAATATTTTCGAGCTCAGAGAAAAATTGCAAAAATTAAGTCATACACGTAATATTAGATGACGACGCACACCTTTAATACGTGTGCTGTGGCAAGACGCGGCAGATGGAAATGAGGGAGACGAGTCATTAGGATCAAAATCACCTCAAAACGTCTGTGGTGATAATTTCTCGTTTTATAAGCGACACAACGTCGGCACCAAGAACACCAAAAATGGGTTTCCGTGTTTTGGAAACATGTTGGAAGTAATGTAAAATGCAGTGCTGCCGAATATGGCGTTTAACTCTTGCAGGCTTGTCGTTTTAGTGTTCTGAAACCTTATAGGCCGATCCTTTCAAACCACAGAAGGTCACGGAATCGTTATTGTACTTTTGTATTCTAAGTTATACACGAATTGTAGATTCTCTGATTAGAGCACTACCACGAGAATTACTAAATTAACCTCAAAACCTAATATACCTTATCAAAAATCTTACAAATCTCTGGCAGACCATACGGAGATTTCACAGTTTAACTCCAGTGCGAATGTGGACAGAATTCTAATTAAGAGCAAATTTAATCCAGGTTTAATTAAGACTGAGGTATGCGCAATACATCAGCTGACAAGCATAGCCTTCTCGCATTCCAGTGTGAACTAAAAACAGTGACTACAACACTGTTAAATGTGGCACTTTTTTATCGTGGGAAAATGTTGAGGGCGGTTCTCTGTAGTAAAATGACATTACTGGCAATAAAATGTTAGACTTTGGCGCAATCAATATCGGCTACATGCCATCGAAGTTGTATGTTATTTACCAATCCCAAAAACCAAATTCCTGTCGTGTATACAACTGTAATGCGTTCCGGAACTTCAATAAGGCAGTAATTCCGTCTGTTTTTCTTCCCGTAATGTCAGCACACCTGATACTTTCACAGATAAGCTCTACTCGCGTAAATTTAGAAACACACGAGATCGCGATTAGGCGATGCTACAGGCAGTTGCGAAGGGGAGTCGAAAGATTTGTGCGAGGCGGTGAGACTGCCTGCGCCGAAAGTGATCGAAAGGAATGTGCTGGGGGTGGGTTGGGGTGGGGGGGGGGCTCATGGATGGACTTCTATACAGGGTGTAGGAGACGCGTCAACTGGGTGCCACCTGACGCCAATGCACGCCGCGGCTGCCAACAACGGAGAAGACAGCCCACGTTGGCGTCGCGTGGAATACCCCGACCAGATCGGCGAAGCGGTCGGAGAAAAATGCACTGGGCTCACGGAGGACGGCGTAGAAGGCCTGCGAGAGGGCGCCACACGAGGCCAGGAGGGTGAGGGGGAACTGGCGCAGGATATAGGGCGAGACCAGGGTGGTTCCGGCCAGCAGTGTGGAAGCCCCCAGGGGGTGATCGAGAATGGCGTCCTGAGCAGTCGCCGTCAGCCAACGGAGACGTCCATCGGGGTGACCTTGAGAACAGAAAAACGCGGCTTTTTGGTCTCACTGACACGCGTGTTCTCACTACCTGTTACCGTGATGGGCAAGCGTCAACCAATTTGGGCCCTACTGATCGCCTCTTGCCTGGCCATCTCCCGAAAATACACCTATACTTCTAGCTAACGATGTGTGGCTAAAAAATGGTTGATTAAAACAATTTTGCGAACCGTTTCAAATCTGTGAATGACAAAACGGTTTTGGAAAATATGAACTCTAAAATAGTGATGTAGCCAAGAATCCGTAAGGGATCAATAAACGCTTTAATTCGAAAAAGTAAAAAAATATTTCTAGAGATGTACTGTGTTCTGGAGATTTTTGTGGTCATAAAAGTGAAGAATCACGAGGCTGCCTAACCTCTGGTCTTCGCAACACCAAAATTTTCACACAAACCCAAATTTATCATTTGCTCACACGTCTAAAAACTTTTGCGGTAAAAATTCCCAGACAAGCGTAATTTCGCATTGATGTCATTGGCTGACAACAATTCGTCTTTACGCCTAGAGTATTCTCGGAAAATGCAGAGATTTATTTGAGTTCCACACAAGTTAGAACCGAAAAAAGAGTTTCCCAATTTGTGGCAGTTCTCATCATTGATTGGCTGTTCCTTTCGACTGAATTGGTCACCTGTAAATCGACAATCTTGGAAAATTCCATCCGAGGGTGAAGTTCGTCAAAGGCGGTCTGTTTAATACTTAAATAGACAGTCCTACTTTATAAGACTTAGGCAACCTTGGTAGCGGATTTTGAGGATGGATTACTAGAAAAACGCGGTCAAAATCGACCAATGACAGCAGGACAAATGGCGATAGTTGAAGGTCATTTACGGCTCATCTTTCGCAAACATGGCTGCGTGTGGAAGTTGAAAGCGCGCAAACTTCAACGACCAGAAGTGCTGTTGAAGTGTTGATAGAACTGGCCATCTACTACTACTACTGCTACTACTACGATTGACCTTTCATTGACCTTTAGATGAAATTTGACCTCAGTCGACCCTACCTGCCTTTGTTATGTCGAGTCCGAATTGCCAATCAATCTGCAATAGCTACACCTACAACACTTGCGCGAATTCAACTCGCAATTTGTCAGCTTCTTGTTCGAGTACTCACTGCTTGGGGTAACGTGAGCCAAGACAGTCTGCCTTTGAAAATGTCGAGAGAGTTGTCTTTTAGCAACGCTGCTATAACCAATTCCACTAAACCGTTATAACTTGCAATTTACCAAGAAGGATTTTTAACGTCTTTCATTGGCTGGATTCCCCGTTTGTTGACCAATGGCAGCACAGTGTGAAAAGACCTGAAAAGACATTCTGGCTAACTTTGAATCACATGCCACGTGGTCCAATACTCAGCGATCTTAACATGCACCTTCTTTTGCAAAATAATAATAATAATTATGAAAGCAGGGAAAACGTTAACGGAATACTGGTGGCATATTTAGCAACCAAATTCTGGAAATTTGATGCCAAATGAGGACAGCGATCTTCGAGCCTAGTGTTCTGCAGAGCACAAGACTGCGTGGTCAGGCGACGACATAAATAGCGATTTCAGATGAGATTACTCAGTGCCTGCTTGATAACACACTTACTCGAACCGAAACCGACGTTGCGTAGCAACCCATGGTGTACACTCATTGACGTGGGCGTTCGCTGGTGCTAGATGATTCACCAGATTCGTTGGCTCCACACCATAAAGTCGTGGAGAAGAAATGAATACTCGTTTGTTTTACTGCAGCTCACGTGGTGACCTTGAGTAGGGTACTCAAACAAATGCATTTCTCTGACACGGTCAAGCCTCGGGACTTGGAGATACTTAAAAACCCCCTTTTCGGTACCGTTTCCACCAAACGCAGTCTCAATTCCCATCAACAGAACATTTTTGTGCGGGGAGGTTAATTTTGCGCGGAAAATTTCAGCTCTGTAGGAATTGAGGAGCCGCAGCCAGCGCGAAAACACATGTCTAGCAGCGTTGCCATTAATAACAACGCACGCAATCTATTAGTTCTAATGCAATTAAGAGGAATCAAAAAGATTGACAAGGCGAAGTGGTCTACTTGTGAATAATTTGCACAATACCTGAGTGCGTAAGTACGGAGAAAATCTTTTTAAACAGGAATTTCACTAATGTCTAGCTCCAACTTATCACTTTTTTTAAAAAACAGGAATTTAATCTGCAAACTTCGGTGGTTCAGCAAGCATTTTAACACGTCATTACGCTCACAAGAGAGGCAATTTGTTTCGGAGGCCTTAAACACACATTTTTTTGCCGCCACCGAAGACTATCCGACGCGATTATCCCGCTTCATGCTAACTGCGGTAAAAAGTAGAGCTTTTCTGGAAAAAAAAATAGTTTTAAAATCCCGTGTGAATATCTTTCTACCTGTTAATCACCTGGAGGGAAGGCGGGGTGACAAGTGATTTCCGTTGAAGCACTAAAGCCAGCTTGTTTACCGCATCGACCACGCGGTCTGCCCACCCTCCAAAAATGGGCGTTGATTTCACCACATAATTGGTCAATTAAACACAAAACACCCTCGGCAAGTGTGAGGCTACGTGCCCAACACGGTGTTGCCAATTACCCCACGAAACAACCTCTCCGAGGCTGTGATTGGTCGGTTTGAATTTGGCAAACTTACTGGGGGTTAGGGGGGTTCCACTCAAAGAGGCGTGAGAATAATCGAAGAGAGAGCTAAGGTAGCGAGGGATGTATGCAGTGCCTAAAAGGAATTGAGAAAAAGGAACACAATTTAGCGCTTGGCTATCCAAACTTAATTCACAGTCGATTTAAACACAGGCCTACATTCTGTGCCGAAATTTAGCTTTTCTTATTTATGCTAAACCCATTTCTCACAGCACTAATCAAGGATTAAAGGGCTCTTCGGCAGTTAAACGACTTCACTACACCGTGATAAGATGCAGCAGATTTGGCAAGGTATCTTTACGTCTGTAGGGAGCCATTCGCAGAGTACCTTTTGTTTAGTATTGCCATGGCAACACCCCAGGGAAAACAGCAGGATTTTTGGCGCTAATTTGTACCCCTAAACAGCTAATCCCCACCCAAAAAGAGAACCGGTTAATCGTGGTTCAGTTGTGGCGGCTCATGGTTGACCTGTCAACTGGCATTAACACGAGATACAACTATGCATAAAGCACCAGATGCGATCTTAGGCGAGATGTTTTACCTGATTTTTCGAAAAATGGAGAAATCTTTTGAGAATCTTTACCCTCTTAGAAACCTAGATACGTCCAAGGAAAAAATGGCTTGCATCGGTATAAATTAAATCCCAATCCCATTGAACTAACTCATTGACTCTAGAAGGTAGCTGATCAATTAGCAATTGAAAATCAGGCGATCTAATCAAACCTACATTTTCACGAAATCGAGTATTTTGTTTTCCATATTTGACAATTGGATTGGTGAATTTTGGACCAGATTGTTAGCTAGATTCGTTGATTAAAAATTTATGCTAGCTGTCGTGAAGTGAAGCCTAGGTGATATCAACTTATCCATACTTAAACCGCACCCAGAAAAAAACCGCAATGGCTTTGCACAGCAAACGGGATCCACGTACGTGAACCAGGATCAAATTAAGCGTGAGTCATTCATAGAGCAAATGCTCAAGCCGACAGCCATGATCCCATTTACCAATTTATTTATGATATTGGTATGCACGCGATCAATAGGCTTTGGGAAATAGGGGAAATTTTCGATAACACGTGGCTAATTAAATTAAGCAAAGACGTGTTCTAGCTGTAAAATTTTCCTACCTTGTTTAGGTAAACAAAACCATCGCAAACACGTGACGTGAAGACAGACGCTGAAGAGTTAGGTAAACTTCTCCTAACTTTATGTGAATTTTGAACGTTTACAAGGCCTTAAACTCGACAGCACAATCACCTCTTTGTTGCATTTCAGAAATTTAAGATGTGACAAAAGCGAGATCGTCATTCTGCTTTTGGTAACATTAAATGTTTGCCCAATCTATTTGACCTAGATGCAGCCAATCAAACACCAGTCCTGAAAAATCGATAATCTGGATAAGTAGGTAGGTCTGCATTTGAAATTGCTCATTTTTTCAAAAGATAAATTGTGGTGGTTTTAATTTGCTTCAGTCGCACAGCTACACAACCCTTGTCTCTGTTGCTCCAAGGTGACATGGGGTTTCGACTCTGGCGACAGAAATTGGTCTGCTTCATCGGAAATCGATTATTTCTATCGGTAGAATGTGCAGGAGGATACTTAGCTGTCAAGATTAAATGAGACATGAAAAACCCATCAGCTGCCGTGAGCAACACCCTTAGTCACAAAAAACATACAAAAACGCTGACAGTAACCAATCAACTTGCTAGATTTTGCGGTGTAAACTCTTGGTTTAGCACTAAATAGCAGCTAGTGGCGAATTTGCGTAGCACTAAAATCTAAAATCTTCATTACTCAGCCATAAAAGCTGTGGATTAAAACGACCAATTTAAATATCCCTTAATTGTCATGCTCTCTTTAAGAAACGCAGCACAAAAATTCCACTCCCGTGATGCAAATCGAATGGCTTCTGAATTGCACCAAAATTGATCAGAAGTGGACAGAATTCGTGTGCCAACAAGGCACCACCAAGCCTCTACCATCTTCGCAAACTCGTGTAAAATTATTGTATCATGGTCAGATCACCTTCCTTGTGTTGAAGCGGATGATGATGATGGTGGTGGAGATCTTGAATGACACCTGGTTCAGATCTTTCGTGATGCGGATCCTTAAGCGGCAAGTAATTATTCAGCCCGCAAATTAGCTCTATTCTAAATGGTGTCTAGGCTGCCACGGAGTTAATTAGTCGGCTCTCAGCTCAGCCTACGATATCCTCAATATGACAACAGAGCGTGATGTAGCCGTTGTCTGCTTTGCCATAGTGACCAGATGGCGCATTGAAACAGGTTTGCGAACGAACAAAATGGCGAACGTGTTGGACACAGCATTCTGGGGTCAATTCAAGGACATGAAATGGTGTCAACTTACTGAGGTTGAGAACAGCGACGAAGGCCTGTGGAAACGTCCTGCGAAGGAAGTGCGGTCGCTGGATTCGCGGTAGAGGCGATGTTGGCGTCACGCGGTCGTCCTGCCAACCGAAGCAACAAATTAGCATAGGGCGTCTACGTGCTTGGCGTGCACAAACGTGCTCATTTCATCGGTTAGCAGTCGAAACGCGTGTTGTTGTTTAAGTTGAGGTTCGGTTTTGTGCGACTTCTAAACTTAGATTGACAGTTGCAATCCGATTGGACAGTTTCACGTGGCACTTGATATCGACCGATATCGATTGTGTATCACCGAACAATGAACGCAATTGCACGTTTCTTCGGCTCACTGAATAACCCCATTGCCCATGGGATTACAAGTAGCTGCAAGGAATGATTTTTAAACCAGACTTCCACCCGAAAATAGAACTTCCTGGGTTAAAAAAGTGGTCACGTAAGTAACTTGGCAGAAGACTAATGCAACACCAATCCACGGTATGTTATGCTCGACTTCAGACAGTTAAATGTTTTTTATTGTTAACGCGCAAGTGATTTGCAAGGGCCAGTTGCGTTATTTTACGCCAAAAACGGTTCAGTCTATTTACCACTTGGTTGCACAACATCCCTACTTACGTCGACAGTGTGAATGCTCATTAAATGACCATCTAGGATGGCGTTCCAAGCAAAAGGCATAAATGTCTAGATTTTATGCCTGACACGTGAATCAGGGCTCTAAAATTTTGTAAAAAGGACAAAAGTACAAAAGTAAGTACAATTAATTTTAAATGTGGTGTCAAGCACCTTGTAGCCCACGTGTTTGGCTTCAAGCAAGTCATTTTGCCTATTTTTTTAAAATTTACTAATGAAAGTTAGCTTTTCTGTACACAAAACTAGCTGTGCCATGAAATGCCTGACCTTTTACGAGATCCCACGCGCAATCAGATTTGTGAGAGATAAACTGACCTTTCACAAATGCCAAACAATGGTCATTTGTCACGCGAGATCAAGTGATCGTTACAATGAAATTGACTTTGAGGATGAATCTGATTGGCTGAAACGTGGTGCGCTTTATTTGGTCAATATAGGTTAGTTTGAATCGAAGCAACGAGGATTTGAAAGTTTAACGAAACGAATTTCAGTCCGAAGGTTGATCTAATGAACAAGGCAAATGAGCATGTATCGATTAATCGCCTGAGCCTAGTACTGATGGATCAAGTGTGTCAAAGCACCAATAAGGCAAGAAATCGATCAAATCAATGCGTGGGAGTGAGTAGTGCAACTGTTAATTTTTAAAATTTTTGTTGTTTTAGTGTGATATGTTCAAATGTACACAAGTAGGCGTATCGCCAATACTTCACGTAGTGGTCAATTGTGTCTTTGTTATTAGGCATATCATTTCGAAATTGTGACATTATGGAAGAAAATTTTGCACGCCTAATGCCCCATTCGTTTCGTATTTAGTTGTGCATTACCAAGTTCCCTTGTTAACCCATAATGTGCCACCCCTGCCCTTCCAAAACGCCTGTCTTATTGTATTGCAAATCAATAATCGATATATTCAATTTTCTTGCAAAGAATATAGAACCGTTACTTTAACGGTAATCGTATACACCCAACACCATATTTGACGATTGTCGTTCCCTTCCAGAACAAAATGAAGGGTTTATCGCCATCCACGTAGGGATTTTGGTTGCCAATTTTTAGTTGTAAAAATACAGCGTGTAATAAAAGTGTTATTCACGTAGGATGAAAGAGGTAGGGCGACACCCATTTCTCAAAGCATGATGGCACTACGCCTCCGTGTGTGGTGCTTTTGCCAATTAGTGCAAAATTCAGGCTACATCGCTCTTCATCTGTTATCATGTTTGACCTGCTAACGTGTCCGCATCGCTGCTAACAAAAACCAATTGCAATCAATTCACACGACAGCATTCTGCAGTGTGTTTAAATGTGATTTTTGCACACATGTTGCTTTATAATCAAGGAGGTGATTGACATGTGAGGCAAAGTTAATTTAATTTGATGCCACGAGAATTTTACTGAAGACAATACGTGAGCATATCAAGTGAGCGAATTTTACGAAGATGTGGTTTAATTGCCTACCACATGTGTGTGGCATTAGTGAAGGCATTGAATCTGAAATAAGCAACCATTTAAATCTGGTCACCAAGTGTGTCACAACGAACCTGATCGATTTCTGATAGAACTAGGCTGGGATACTCGTCGTAGGATTTGACAGCTCGCTTGACCAATTCGAGAGTTTCTGGTGAAATTTGCTTCCTCAGGTCGTGAATCACCTCAAAAGACTCGTGGTTCGAATGCCCTCTGATATGGTTATGCTCAGGGAATGCCGCATTACGCGTAGAAATTCCATCGGCTGAATACTCGGATGGAAGGCCATCAAATGTGTCCGCATTGTCCGACGCAGGAGGCAATTGCTGGAGGATGGTGCTCTTCACAGTTGGAATCAAATCTTCTTGAATTGGAGCTGGTGATTTGACGTCTCTTTGGGGAACACCTCTCTTCTGAGCTTCTGAACTTCCACTCCGGTCATCCAGCTGATCAATGTCAGTTTCCTGATAGCTTTGGACTGCGTGCTCAGAGTGTGTCAAGTGCGGCTGAATGGTACTGTTGAATTCGTCGGCTAGGGGCTGTTCATGATGCTGGTGGAGAGGGTAGGAACAGCGGAGGGAAGAATCCTGTGTAAACTCAACATCGGAGGCATCCTGCAGAGTTGGATCGTCCAACGACTCAGACGAGGCCTTTGAATCTGGATTCATGATCCGTGGTCCTTGGCACGAGTTACGGTTATTCTGGAACATCTCAGCTGGTGGCGCCAGCTCCACGAAAGCGCCTTGAACGGGCTCAACCACCAGATCGTGAAATGGAGAGCTGACGTCTGAGGAATTCTGCTTCTTCAGTGGCGGCAGTCCAGGTCTGACAAAAGGTTCTGTTTCACAGGATCCGCTCAAATCCGAGTGGATGGTTTCATCGTTGAGCGTCTCGTCGTCCGCGTACTTCATGGTGTCGTCCAACATTGAAAGCTGGTGCTCATTTAGGCTCGAGTCGTCCAATCGTTGGCTTGGTGTGTTCTGCGTTTGACTGCTAAAAGGCACAAGACTCGGACTAAGTACTTCTCTGTTTGTCCTCGAAGAAAGCCACTCTTTTTCAGTGTATTCATGACTAGACGAGAGGGAGGACGAGGCGAAAGTTGACGGTGAAGCACTCGGAGATGTGGGAGGACGATCAGAAAGACTGGGTGAGGAACAGCTGGTTTCCGTGGAGACTAAACTAGAATTGCACATGATGCCAGAATCATTTCTTGGCTTTCCTTTGCGACTATGCTTGGAAGTAGCTTGTGTTTCCTGCTTCGGTGACGCAGATAACGTGCCATTAGCACTGCACCGCCTTCCAGCAGGTTCTTCGACTTGTACTTGAAGACAGAAGGTGTTCATTGGCTTCTTTCCTGGTCTGGGTGAGGATGTGTGGGGAATACTTACACGGATGACTTCTGGAGAATTGATGACCACCGATTCCGGTGGATGGTCAAACGTCGACTCGGAGTTGCCCTGTTTCACGTGCGTCAACTTCGGAGATTGCAGTACACTGGGGTGACTGCAACGGCCTTCCTTATTTTCGGCCAATGAGAAGCCAGGCATGTTTTTGATTATCAGCGTATCCGAGTTGCGACGCTTGCGTTTTTTCCTAAAGGGCTTCCTCGCGTGAAAGAAAGGCTCAAGAAAGCACATGTCATCGAGTGAACGGCTGCGATGGACGTTGTGTGTGCATAAGCGCGAGTCTTCTTGACGAAGTGACCTCGAAAAACCACCGACGCGGGGAGATGGACAAGGCGGCGCAGAATCGCCTTGTTCAGCAAAAGCACTAGACCTCTGCGTGCTAGGCAAGTGTGTCTTTATAGGCTCCTCGAGGCTGTCTTCTGATTGGTCGCGTGCTCTCACGACCACGCCTGCCTCGTCGCCATTGGCTGCCTTGGCGTCTGTATCAACGGTTGAGTTTTGCGCTGATGGCACGTGACGCCGCATTGATGACTGCGGTCGTTTTAGTTCGGGTGTCAGTGGCACTTTGGCTAAAAATGAAACACACGATTTTCAACTTCAAGTAACTGATACACAATTTGATTTTAGTGGGTTTTCTAAAAATCGCACCAATCAACCAAACAAGAAAATTAGTTCCAGCCGCTGAAATGTTCGGAAATTTTGAAAGGATTCATCGAACAGCTAAAAGTTGTGTGTGAATCAACAAGTGGGTAGTTTTGCCCAGGCTCAAAACCCCTACAAAATCGATTTTGTTTGAGGTAGGACTCGTCGAACGAACAAATGCCGAGCGTGAGTGCTTGGCAGCGTTACCTGCTTAACCAAGTCGGTGTGCGCCCGTCTATGTCACGTGTTTTTTTCGCCGGCCGGGACAATTTTTTGGTGTGAGCAGAAGCGAGCATGTGATTGGTGAGTTGTCGATTCTGGTGCTCTTGAGGAGCCACGGGACAAGTAAACAACGAGTTTTTTTAGCAGAAAATCGACTCGAAGCGAGGATCGAGGGGTTACTTTGTAGGCGTAGCAACGATTCCACATGCCCGTCACGCCAGCACCAGCGGAGGCGACGACAAATCAGTGGGTTTTGGTGGACAAATTACAGGGCACCTGGCAACCACCCACATTTCATGTAACAAAATCACCCTGGGCAGGTGTGAGATGGGAGTACCCTGGTGATTCTTGTACCGAAATAGGAAAAGCAATTAATAAGGTGTCGCGACAATTGAAAATCGATTTTCAAGAGACATTTGGATGCTAGCAGTTGCGCGGCTTTTTTTTAAATTTGGACGTTTTAAAGTCAAACCATTTCCACAGTACAATGCAAAAACAGTGCACCTTACTGACTGCAAAATGCGAAAACTTGACGAAAATATTTTGCTTAAATTAATCGTTTTTTAGCTTTCAGAATACGCAAAACAGTCGTATTTATAGTAGTTGAATCTAATGAGGCAGGTGATCATAAGTTACTTATCTCAATAATTACCACTCTGTGGCTACTGGTCATTAATAATGCGAATGTCACAATTGACTGTTGCTCTGGGTTATCAGGTTGCATCGAATTTGGTCCACGTTGTACCACTACTGACATTATTTCAGTACATATTGTAAAATCTCGTGTGTAAATCACGTCAGCCTCAGGAGGACGCTTTTTAGCCAACCTGGAACTCGTAGGACCGCTGTTTCATGACATCAAGCTTAGAAAAAGTTTTCTGCTCCGAAAATACCGTGCAAATTACTTTGGTGAATGATTTTAGGTGATAACTAACAGGGTTTTGAATTCGGAATTTACAATGAACGATGTAGCAATGAATTTGCGCCACTTTCAAAAATGATGTTAGTGTTCAGGAAGCAGATTATTTCACGAATTCTTTATTCAAAGACGCACTGCTGTAGAAATGCTCGATTTTGCCTATAGCAACACTTTCCTTCCCTTGATAAATCTATTTTTTTTAAAGATGTGTTACAGCTAAATTAAGTTTATATAATAAGGTGCTGAGAGGTCATGAGTTATCTTCAGTCAACAAGACCTACCCTTAGAGCACATCTATTGAATGGTTGTGAGCGTGCTCGAGTGACCTTGAAATTTTAGCTCGAATTTGAATTGACCAATTACGTGCGAGGTGCACTTTCTGCGTTATTTGCAGGTACCAATTTACAGGGATCTGGTGATCTGGACTGGTCAATTTAACGGAGAGGTTTAGAAGTTATGAGAACGTGTATTGCATTGGAAATCGTTCAGGTACCACCCAAGCCATTCACGATCTTCCAATAACCCCTAATTTAAGCCCATGAGGCACGTCCGGACATGCTCCCACGTGTGCATCCCGCTTTGACTTTAAAATATGAATGACCTTGAACGCATTCAAACACACAGCCGTTCAAGACCCACGAAGGGAACTCCTACAACCAACGGACTCTGTCAGTCAGCCCAACTGATATATTTATGCTACTGAAATGTTTGTCAGCATCCTGAAAGCACCAATCCCTAGCTCAAGTGCGTTCGGTTTAATCTAACCAATCGGAGCTAATCCAAATGAGGTCTAGTGGTGGTTCGAAACTCATGTAAAGCTCTGATGAGATCGCAGCGAATGCGATATTAAGAAAGTGCATTACACCACGCCCATATTACTGATGCTTGCCAAGTTCGATCTGATTACGCAACTTGGGGCCTGAAGTGCCATGAACTGTGATCTCAGAAGAGAACGTTCAGGGAATCAGTGATGACCTTCAAGGCATCGATTTGATCGGTCACAAGTGAGATGCCATGGGACCTAGTGTTTAAATCTCGCTGGCAAGGTGCTGATCCGATCCAATTAGTGCAACAGTTCGCTGAATAAGTGAGGCGGCTAAATACGTGATCCGCCGAATTCTCATTGGTCGCCTGGTACTCTGACCCCAACGAAATTACGTAATGCCTGAACTAAGTTAAATGCGCAGGAGACCAATAAGCGGACCGGTAGGCCGGTAGACATGTTTATGAGCAAGCGCTACATTAACAACGCAATTTGACTTTGTGAGTTGGCGACGAGAGCTTTGTACTCACCTCCTGGTGCAACCAGGAATAGCCAGAAAGACGAGTACTTGCGCCAAATTAAATTTACTTTAACGCAAACTCACACGACACGCCCATTGTGTTGGAACTGGGTGGTGAGATTGGAGTGACAAGTACGCGTGTACGTGTCAAATTTGAGGTGATTATGCTGTTAAAAAACGCTTTTTTTAATAGACTGAATCCTACCGTTTGCCTTTCTGAATCCAACATTTCCGTGGAAAAAAGGTCGACTCAAAAATTCAACATTTGTTTTGCCGGGACTCAAACATATTGGCAGCAATTCATATTTACCGGGCTTTTATTGCTGTGTGATTGGTTGGTTTTTTGTTGAAATTCTCGGCTGTAACTGTGTCAACGTAAATTAGAATAGTCAAATTAGTGAATCCACTTTGCAACGACTAGTTACCAGATGATGTCCGACTTAGGACTTGTCTCCAATAATGTAGGTGACATAGGAACCAAAGGGGGTTGAAGATACACAGTAATCATGTTTAAGTTGTAGCTGATTGGATGGTTTAGTAATTTGACACTAGCGAGGTAATTAGGAATGTAGACGTCACATAAACTGTAGGATTTTTTATCAGAAATCGATAGGAGGAGTGGAAATTCAACATGATTTACCTAGCACAAACTGCCCAATTTTTACAAATGTGAAACATTTAATAAGCCATTTCATTAATTGATGAGGTTTTTGAGAAACTGGGAGTATGAATGTTGCCAAGATTAGCATAAAGAGCCTCATTTTATTGATTCAATGCAGGTAACTGATACTGATCATATCTAATATCGATCGCTTCTTCAATATTCGAACTATCCATTTTTTGAGATATGGATTCTTGACAAGTCAATTTGCCGTTCAAATGGTGCGCCTAAATACGATGAAAATTAAAACAAATTTGCAGAAATCAGTAAACACTCCACCGGATATTTCGTGACATTTCAAATTCTTTGTGTTTCTGCGATCGTAGTCTGAGGGTGCAAGAATAAGGTTTTGTGCGGTTACGACTGAAACCCTTTTCCAACCAAACGCATGTGAGGCCCTGAATTGCTTTGATGGAAGTCGATTTCTTGTCACACACACACATAGGCACATTTTAGACGACGACGACAACAACAACAACAGCAGCAAAGGCTAACATGGTTTTCATCAAATTGCATGTAATTAAGGTGCAAATCGGGGCGTGTGTACCAAGCATCAAACCCAGTTGACGTGCTAAGGAGGCGCAGTCTGTGGCCAAATTCTTGGTCAAAATTTGGCGCGTCTAGCAAAACCGTCTAGAGCTATATCAGATGACTACAGATCACGAACCCTAAGACAGTCGTATTATATTCATTGTCTAGTGCAGTAAGCATTCAACACTTTGCTGATCTGGGCGTTGTTTATTTGGGAATTGAGTTGTAACACCAGCACACCTCACAATCACACAAGAGTAAGGCGTTGTCAGTAGGCAAACCACACCATCATCTCCAACACTCGCAGTGATGTTAAGGGCTTTGACACACGTCCTTCTGTTATAGGGGACTGAACACAGATTTTACAGAAATGCAGGGCAAGAAATGTCTGATTTTCTTTCGATACAGAACTCAAACGCTACGTCAAGAGTATCTAAGCCACACCAAGTACTTGTCGGAGGTTGCGTGGAAAGTGTAGCATAAAGCCTACTCTGCACAAAGCACACTTACCGGTTTGATGAGAGTTGGTGTGAAGCGGAGTGTGATTATAAGCTCAAATCTGTCAAATGAGTTTCAGGCAGTTGGCGGCTCTCAATTAAACGCGAAGTGGAGATTGTGAAGAGTTAATTCCCTTGTGCCAATGACAGGTACGCGTCGGTGTGAATGTCGAGCAATGTGACAAATTACCAATTTGAGCACATCCCTTGAAAAGTCCCGCTTAATTGAGGCTGCGCGTGGGTATTGGCGCAATCTCAACGCTGATTCGTCAGCTGGGAACGAACTGATTTTATAAGTTTGCCGTGACTTGCAAACTTACAACCCTACTGGTTAACGCACCGTAAAATCCCGCCAGCAGAGATAAGAGAGGCGACGGTGGACACGACAGTTTACTAGCGTTTGGCCATCCAGGTGTCTGAGTGTGGAAGACTGCGACTGATAGGCAGTAACCAATAAAAAGTAGTTATGAGTCATTGAGGAAAATGGCTGCGGAAAATTCCAGTCTTTCAGACGGTGTGTAGCGTCAATTGCGCAACCTAACAACCGTGCTAATTAACAAACCGTAACCACCCCAGAGAACGGCGTGTGCCGAAGTGAGTCGCATATTTTGTACATTCAAGTGAAATTACAAAAATCGATAATTCCATGTCTGAGCATCGCTCATAGGCACGATGGATTCCCAAGTGTCGTAATTGATCGATAACACGGGCAAACATGCCTGGATTTACTTCGAGCTAACTTGAATTAATCCGCTACAGGTAGTCTACAAGAAACACATCAGGAAAATGAAGCGTTCGTTTTAAACTAAATTGTTTTGTCGAGTGTGAGGACAATGCAGCATGTCGAATTTCACAAATCATTCGTTAAAACGCTTCGCACTGGTGTAAACACGCCAAAAAGATAACCGAACAGTCATGATTTATCAAAATTTACAAGAAGGTAGTTCTCTAATCAGCAAGGGATGTACCGTGGTCGTTTGTGTGAATTGGCACTTCAGGATAGCGTATCCATTTGTAAAGTGAATAGTGGAAACCGTTACGTTAAGACCGTTACGGAATTACTGTAATCGTTATCTCATTAACTACGCAGTTCTTGCATATCTAACTGTGATTTAAAACGTTTTTGGAATCCCAAAACCCATTTCGTGAAATCAGGACACACATAATGTGCCTTGAAGATAAACTTAAGCGTTTTCTTCTACATTTAAATCGTGTTTTAAGCGTTTCGCTAAAAGTATGATTCCTTCGAGTGGTCTGTAGAAGGCAACTTCGCAAAAATCAATTATCAGGCAAATGATTTAAATCGATTTTTTGTTTACCAATGGCACGACGAGCTGAACATGACATCATTCAGTCCAGACAAATGTTAGATCCACCCTCGCAGATGATTGGCTAACAATGGGATCTTCCTATTGGTCGAATGCCATCATGGAGGTTGTGTACAGGGGAATGCATTTGATGCACAGTCAGCGATCAGGAGTGCTTTTAAACCTTTTTAAGGACACAAAATCTTTTTCCCATTGAACACAAACACCGAGAATGAGCCTATAATGCTGATTAAAAGTTTACTAAATAATAAAAAAAGCCCTTTTGACGGTTTTACAGATGTTAAAATTGTTGGGGAGTCACATTCGCTGCTTAGTTAGTTGATCTGCATTCTGCCTAATGAAATCACTATTAAGGCAATCAGAATTTGAACAAATTGCACTGTCAGTTTATTCTAAGCGTAAATTTTGCAAAATACATTTAATTTGTCGGTGCATTCTCTGCCGAAACCCAAGAATCTGGTTTGGTGAGAAAATGAATGCGGCTTGTCAAAATAGACAGTGTTAAATTGTCTACTGCGAAGGAATTCTGTCGATGTTGTGAATTCTATCTTCCAACAGTTTGACAGGTGTCATTTTTGCCTTGTATTAGAAGCAAATTGTGAGTTATTCCACGGAAAACAAGCATGTTCTAAGCGACCTAAGCGAATGTGCATTTTGGTTGGGTGGCATAAACATTGTTGCACTTTGAGTTGGCTCCAAACAATTAAACAAAAGTTCTACGAATTCGCATTTAACACGAAATGAAATTGGCTTATGGAGCAATCAGATGATTTGGCCTAAAGTTGCGAAACAATTTGATTGGTTAGCCTCACCAATAATCCAAATGGCCCGAAGTCGCAAATTGACCAGATCAACTTTTAATGATCATGAGTTCAAACAACACGAAATCATAAAATTCGACACCAAATTTTGCAAAAAAGGTCACTGGTCAAGACGAAAGATTTGAAGTTAATTAAGGTTTCAAAATTTGTTCGAATTAGCCCAACCTAACCCAAAATCATTTCTTTCTAAACTATAAATTTGAGGGGTGATCTACGAAGCATCATAATTGGCGTGATCCCTTGAATTCTGATCGATCAAGCGTATTTGAAAATTTGTCAACTGCAAAATTACCTTAATATCATCATCTCATTTTAAGCTTGCTGGAAGGACAAAATTTAGGGTTGGTTCAAAACAAGTATCTATACAACAGGAAAGAAAATATTTAACACCATTTTTTGTAACACAGCGTCGGCAACTTTATTGACAAATTGTAAGACACACTGAAATGGAAGCGTCTTCCTTATGTCGGTTGAGGAAATTTTGAACTAGATGCTAGCTAATTCTCAGTTAACCCGGCCCAGGGCGACACCAAAATCATAATATTTACTGTGAATGAGAGTCATTAAACATCCACACAAACGCCCAATATCGATCGCATTAGCACCAAACTTGTGAAGCCGTTCGGCTAGTGACAGTTTCATTCAACAGCAGAGAAACGCCAACTCACTTTGAAGAGTTCCAAGAAGTCGCTGCCATGGAGACCCCTCAGACTCCCACTCGTCTCTGTTCAACGAAAAAATCAATGCCTCAGTCGCGAAGAGGTTCTGGTCGTAGATCTGTTGCTCGCTGGGTTGGCCAATGTACACCACCATGGCGCGATTTCTCCACGTTGGTCGAATCGTGAAGAAGACGAGCATGCGGGGGTAGATGACGTCTAGACAGGCTGCATTCACGCCAGACGTGATAAAAATGGCGAATTCCGAATTCCGCAGGAATCGCTCCTCAAACTCGTCGAAATCCATGTTCAGAAAGGCCTCGCCGCTCTTCTTGGGCATGTACGTCCTCGCGCCAAGCAGACTGGAGACTCGATCGCACAAATAAATCGCAAATTCCTCGGCCAGTTCATCTTCAAGACTGGCCGGATGGTCAGGTGGGAGGTATGAGTGAGGTGTAAGAACTGTGAATTTGTAGAATCGTCTGGAGGTTGGTTGGGGCGAGAGTAATTGTGAGTCACTGTTCATCTCATGAGTCGAAAATGCCCGCCAACTTGTTTATTTTTGCGAAAAAAATACAATCTAGGACCAAGTTGCCTAACGAAATCATGTATAAGAAAGGCGCTCTTTCGATTGCGTTGGCGACAGATTGCGCTTGACGCTGATTGGTCGACACTCCTCGCTCGTGTAAGCGTGACCTTGAAGTGGATACACTGAATGCTCATTGGTTGGGGTTTTTCACACGGCCATAGGCAGTGGGCTGCATGTGATCACATCCCATACAAAGCTTTAGCCTATTATCGAACTACCCAACGCGAAAGCTCTATGTAGTCACGTCCGTAATCTGGAACTTTTTGTATTCTACTGAAATCGGATACCAGATGCGCGCGCGCTGCTGAACGCTTAAACTGACCGCCGCATTAAAGTGCATTCTTGCAGCGTTGTGGATTGAATCATTCCTTCCAAGTTAACGATGACCTTTACCCTCAAATTCATCACCTTAGGTCACATTTCCTGTGTCTTTTTCAACCTCAAAAACGGTGAATTTTGATGATAGAAAACATGACAAAGATGCGTGGAATTTCGGTAATGTGGTTCTGTCATCATCACAACAAGAACATTATTTGTAAGCCTGATTGATCTGTTCGGTTCTAATTCACATTGGCGGGGCTAATTTTTCTTCCGCAGGAAACTATGGTTGCTATGACAACTGGAACCCAATTGAAGACAACTTTATTGTTGGAGAAAAGGCATTTTTGCTTTTCCTGTGGAGAATCACTGTGTCGAAGAAAAGGTGGGAATTTGGCTTCCTGAACTTACTCCACAACAGATTAGGCATCATACATTTCAAATCGATTTAACAAGACCCAGGTGCCAGTCGTTATTTAGTGTGTTAATCTGGACCAAATCTAAGGCCACTGCACCTCATGACCTTTCTTTGACCTGTCAGCCTGTTTAGTGTTAGAAAACCTCGCATTTATTTTATCGATTGAGGGCTGCAAATTGCCTGATAGCAGGTATTAGGTGCGTAAGTCGGCAGTTGAAGCGAAAATTTCAAAGCCCATTTCACCTCCACTTTGCGTCACCACACACAGGCAGTGTCTACTGTTTGATTTACGCACACACCCACTTCTGCAGGCTCAGAAACGTGTGAGAGTACTTCTTTTATCCATTTCAAACAAACCTCTTTGCGACAATTCCGTTTTCCATCACTTCGGTTTATTAAAACTTGCCAGACGTGTACACAGGACATGCACAACTATAAATTATCATTTCCGGCTACAATTTGCACCTAAATAACGTCGGGTAAAATTCAAGGCACCCCGATTCAATCGCCCTCTCTTCTCGCTTCACGTGTGTCGAAGTGAGTCACACAATTGGTTAGCCGGAGCCAATTCAAAAAAATCGATAATTTCACCAGCACGGGTGAACTGCCCTGGATTTTCTGACGCGGCAGTCGATCGATAATCCGAAAGGGCGTGCCTGAATTTGCCACGAATTCTAGAAAAAAAATGAAAGCTAAAGCTAATGGCGTGACCATGATCTGATCGCACTGAACAAAGACGAATGCAAAGCCTGTTTCAGGCGGTGCGTACCTACTACCACTGTCTTTTTGTATCAGTCAACATGGTGGAGATATGAGGTCAAATTGCGCAGTTCATTCGGCGGAATTGGACTGAACATGCGTTCGTGTCTTAATTAGAGTCGTGTCTCGTGAATCTAATGTTTTCTTTGCCAGATCTGCCAAATGCATCAGAGGTAAGATGGATTATGTAAGCAGAGAGCGTTTAATTTTGGGCATCTAAAACGGTAGGAACAGTGGAATGTGATTTTCATTCCCCCAGTTTCAAATTGTTTACGAGGTGACTCAAAGTTACCGTTCGTGAACGCGTCGCTCATTAAGCAAGTAGAAGGTTACCTGGAAAACCAGACCAACTATTCTGATTGGCTGCGTTGGCGATCGATGCACAAGAGCTGTTCTCATTGGTTGTGGGTTAACAGTCCTTCAATTCAATTGGTCAGTTTTGTCAAAATTGATTCTGGCCTTTATTTTCGGCCAATCATGCTGCAGCTTTGATGTGGCGCCAGTTTTTTAACTTGGGCACATAAATAACTTGCTTTTTCAAAGCAAGGAGATAGCACCTTGTAGGAACACGGTTTAAAAATAGTCCTGTTGTCAACGCGTTCAGACAGCCACGTTGTTGCAATTGTTCCAACTACTGCAATTTCTTATTTCCTCTTAAAATCTGGTAAATTTATTCTAAACGATTGTGCCTGTTGTAGATAACAATACCATTCGCTGAAATCTTGACTCACATTGCCAAGGCCTTACCAGGGGTTTTAAACGCGGTGATTGCAAATCTTCGTGTCCAAGTTGAAACTGAATTTAGAAATAACACTCTTTAAAAAAAATATTAATCAATAATGTCCTCTCCAACGCCTTCTATAACCGTCCTGTATCGCTTTACAAAGTTTTAGACCCGTTAATTGTCCAAATTTCGTGGTTTTACTTCACAGAAAGCTGTGGGGCAGTAGCGCCCTTTATAAAATAAATTTGTTTGTTTAAATGTGATCACAGTGCTTCTCCCCTATTGGTGGAAGACGGCCGTACAAACATTATCCCTTCGCGACACCCCACCAGACAGAAGGCAGCACTTCCTTTGGACTTACATCAGACTTTGTGGTGAAACGTGGGGAACCCCCAAGTATCGATTTTTGCACTGCATCTAAAGTCGATTGAATCACTTTGAGACTGTTCAGACAGGTAATTGTGCAGAATAATAAGGGCAACATCGCCACAACTACAAGTACCCACCTCTGCCTGTTGTACTAACTCGACACGAATATTTGTGCTCACCCGTGCACGACTCGTGATGTGCTCGTAAAATGAGTACTGATTATATTTAAGTAACAATTTAGGTTAATCAAAATTTAAGTTGCCCCGGCTGAGGTGGGAGGCGATGTCACGAGAGAAATTAAAGGTTAACACCATTGCCCTTTTCGTTTAAACTAGCTCCGAATTAGGCAACCATAAAACACAAACATATCAAAAGAGTGCGGTGATGGTTTCTATTTTACACATAACTACGCAATGGCAGAGGGAGAAACGAGGCGATGAACCGGTCTAAGGACGTAGTTGGGATTTCACCAGAGGAAAGAGCACAGCGACCGCCACGACGGCCAACGTAGCGGCTGTGATTGTGGTCCACGAGTAGCCCTTCGTCTCAGACTGCTCCGCACATTCTGCAGTGGAAATGGGAGGTTTGAATTAGGAGATGGAAGGAGCCAGATGGTGTCAGTGGCATCGCATCACCCTATCATCCGAAATGATGACCCATTCCACGGAAGTGTAGGTGGCGATCAAGAGGAGAACGTCCCTGAATGTTCCGACCTGGATACAAGCTAACTGTTCCATGGACGAACGCACACTTTTGGACACAAAATCGTCAGCTCCTCGGCACTAATACCGCCTCCCAATTCGATCAAGTATGAGTCTCAAATTAGCAGATGTCGATTAAGCTTTGCTGAATCTACCTCATTCACAAGCGGCATATAATGAACGGTGAACTCGGATGGACAGCGTCTGACGAAGGGTTCTGGCTTGTGATTGGTCAACGCAGCCTTGTCTGTTGTACCAGTCTTGTTCATACTAGGGCTCGCGTAATCTACACAAACGACTTAACGTTTTCACATCAGCCGCTATTTTCCTATTGGCTCATTCCACCGAGACAGATCAAAGATTTCTGATTGGTCCTAATTTTGAACCGGCATTCATTCATTAACACTCACTTGACCTCTTTTTGTAACGTTCCAGCGCACCGCCTTTCGTATTCAAACTAGCCGCTTAACTCTTATTGGCTCGTTCCCTGGCAAGGCCACGCCTTTGCCCAAAGCAGTTATGAGCCCTAGTGAAAGATAGCCTCTGATTGGTTCGTATTTTGGGGTCGCAGTGCCGTCCCCGTGATTTAGATCTAAGATTGTGGTTACTCATTCCCAGACAAAATTTCATGCATTTTCATTCAGGGTTAGTGTTTGCCCACCCCGTAGCCGTACCCCGAGCATAATTTCCACCAACCGTGATAAGAATATGTAGGCATTTTCATTTCACAAGTCTGCATACCCACCGTCGTAAACCAGGCCCCCTTGAGAAAGAGGGACCACATTGACACCCACCCATTTATTCAGGTTATTGGCAATCGCTTGTAGTTGGCAGGTACTTGTCACTGACGTTATTTTAAGCACAAATTTGTGCTTTAAGTAGTGACTAAAACTTGGCCTTGATTGGAAAAAAAATCAAAACCGCGCAATGCGTGCTAATCTGATTGCTTGTCTGGGTTTCAAGTGCATACTTCTGACCAATCACGTGTCCTGTTGGAAATAAAAAGGGTGCAAGTTTATAATTTAACAATGCTGTGCCATCTCTGTGACCTTGTGAGGCTCGGCAAATCGACGTGAGTGTGAGGACTTACCGTGGTTTCCTTCGACAGTGTCTTTGTTTGTCGCCTTCCAACCGTCCGTCGTCTGGAGCTCTCGTGGGCCTGCAAAAGGACGCAAAAGGTTCAGGTGGTAAAGAGGCACGTGTGGGCACTCAAGGCGTTGGTGCAACGTGCAGAGAGATTTTCCAGCTGGTGCATTTAACAAAAAATGGCGGTGGCGATGGCAGTTTGGCAGAGACAGATCATCAACGAAATCACGATAGCACAGATAAGTCCGGGCGGGTGGGACGGCAGTCAGATGTGAGCAAAAAAATTTTTGGTGAACTTAATTAGGGTGCAAAGAAGTGGCATCACGCGGTTGTCGATGTGACTAAAACGTTAAGGAGAGGTAAATACAACGTAGGTGTGTTCCAAAGTGACGTTAAATAATTTTATTTCGGAATAATTCGATCAAAAAATCGATTCTTGGTTAAGGTGTAAACTACAACGGGAACAGCGGCGCACTCTAACTGGTCAGTTTGTAATTTGCGCCAACCGAACTGCAAGCTGATTGGACAGCGAAGATTGCTCGTTTGGGGTGGTTAGTGCTACGCCCTATAATTGCACATTTACACAAAAAAACTAAATCAAAACTAAAGCAGATGATTTTTAAAAGGCCTGGAAATGACGAACTTGCATCATGAAAGATCATCAGCTGGCTAGTTGAGGAAAAAGTCATTTTCATTTTTAATTAGTTCCTTAGTGGAAGTGACCTAGTCTAATTGTAACACGGCAAAATCCGTCCTCACATCGCCAATATGGCGCAAACTGTGATTAGGAAGTCCCACGAGGGCATCAATAATTATCATGGGATTTTCATCTTGTCCAATCACCAACTGACAAGCTGTGAGGGGTTTCATTCAGTACTGACTTTGGAGTGAGCTCATGCTTGGACAAATGTTTTGAGTCCAAAAGCCACAAAACACATTGGAAATACGTGGTAAATATCAGCTTAGAATGCATTATTCGTTAAATTGCATCCTGTGGTCAATAAACCGATTCCAATCTCACCTTGTGGATGCCTCAAAGTAAAAATTGGCCTTCAAAACCATTCGGACAATCTTAAGCACCAAATCACCTTCAAAATTGGCCCATATTTCTCCCTCGATGACCCAACCACTGACTCACCACCAAGCGAATTTCGTCATGCAGGTGTCATTGTGGATTTCACCCCAAAACACATACTCACCTGACTTTTCCCCCGTCATTCCTACTTTGGTAGCAGACCCCGATGACTCTATGCGTGTTTCTGCAAGAAAGTAAATCATTTAGTTTATTAAGCAATGCAGGAGGAATGTGGCGTTAGCAAAGGATACAACTGGCCCCAGCATGGTTACACAATCACCTGCTTCTTTGAAAGACGATGGTTGGTGCGTTTTGTTGGACTTGTCGCTTTTATGTTCTAAAAACAGGAAAATTTGGTGATCCAGCTCTCTGGAAAGGCACAAATATTGATGTCCACGTAGGCAACCGGTTCACCGATCGGTGATAAAGAAGCCTGTGCTCCAAAGACTGTTCCCCGCATACCTAGGATTTTATTAGTGCCTACACAACTCCCATAAGAGCCCCTCTGCATATGGCTATCCCGTCTTTAAATCCACTGCCCTACTGACAGTTTCCTTCTGTGTTAATCCCTCTTGATCCCTTGGTTCAAGGTTGCTAAGGCAGCGAAAGCTCTTCGCACGAGATCTTGCCTTTTTGTTAATCGAAACGACCAGTAAGTTTGGAATCGGCATCAAGACCGTTTTTCTTGGTTTTAGGAGCTAGAATACGCAGTGAGTCAGTAAGATTTGGCAAACGCATCACGGAAAACGCAAGACTGCGCGTGAAGGACACAACGCGTACCCAGCGATTGTCCACGTCTGATTAGTGACGTGGATGGCTGATGTGTTCAGGCAAAAAAAGGTGATAGGTGTGACAACTTGGGAATGGCATTAATCATCAGAGATTGTGTGGAGGGTTTCGAGTCGAAGAAAGCAGGCAGCTATCCGCGATTAAGAAAAAGACCGGAGAGGACGTGGCCACAACCGTTTACTTCAGAGCCCAGCCACGGTGGCGTCGTTGCGTCGTGTGTGGCGTTTGCGTGTGTGTATTTATGCCTCAGATGTGTGAGTCATAGATGTGCTAACATCGAGACCTAGGTGTGAAGATAATCCAGGATAAATTTTCGTGCGAATGAGGAGGGAGTTGAGGATCCACGTGGCTGGCAACAACCTGCGAGAAGGGGGACCTTGTGTCGGAGGCTGGAGTGAGCGGAATATCGAATGTGAGTCACAACAACGCGGAACCCACACGTGCTCTCCCACCTGAGACCGCGACCGGCCACTTAATCAACCTCTCAGTTAATCGCGTTAAGGTCATCTAAATTATTTATCCAACAGTATGCCTGCCCGAGAGTTTTCGTTTTAATTGTTCGACGAAACCGCAAATTCGACATGTTCCGAGTTAAATTTTTCCCGCGTAAACTGAACTACTTTCCGCTCGATGTTTGAATCAACAGATCAACAACACATCTCCACGACTGCGTTGATTGGTCAGTTCGGAAAGCTGCAAGATCATTGGACGAGGGAACACGGCCTGCATTTTGGGAAGTGTTGTAGATTTACCCAGCAAAATTCGCTGACAGGAAGAAATAATTTTGTAGGAAGGAGTTAAGAAAATATGGCGATTTTGTAACATCACCAAAAACTGCAGTGTTTGTCAACACAGACGCAATTTTTCCAAACAGGGCAGAAGAAAACTGTGGTATTCTTTTCAAACCCCGACAAATTGCTTACCCCATAATCGCCAACCCCACAAATCCTTTTTATCCTGTTTGTCTCGTGATTGCGCGCACGCGAATGATTCAAAAAAGTGCCTCACTCACCTGACTTTTCATGGGAAATAGCCACTTCGGTAGCGTCTCTTGGTGACTCAGAGGGTGTTTCCGCTAGAACAGAAATCGATAACTTTGTCAGCAATTCAATAATTTGAATAAGGCAATAAGTAGTGTCTCGAGTCACCATTAGTAAAGATTTAGAAGACGGAGGCTTAAAATTGGGTGTGCCACTTCAAGGAGACATCCTTTTCACACCTTTGAGTAGCGGATATTGCTAAATAACTTGATGGCAAATCGATGAATCGGGAACAAGCGGTACTAAGACATTGAGCTGATGTCAAGGGATCACTCATTGGCCAATTACTGTTATTGGTCAATCTGGTGACGCGGTTGAGATGGCAATCGGTGGGATTTACAAACTAGCCAATTAAAGTAGAGCGTTTCACACATTTACTCACAAACTCACCTGTGTTGTCAGGATGGGAATAGTTATTTGGTTCTTTTAGTTCAACTTCCTGTTGAGCTGAAAAATCAATAAATAAATGACCTTTTCGATGAGAGTACCACTAGCAACCCTTTCACTATTGCTAATCTGAAATATTTCGAGATCAAGCGTCTAGATGCACCAGTTTTTTGAGAAAAATTGACAAGAGATGCGGTGGTAGAACAGATGAGATTATGCTTTGGAAGGCAATTGTTTAAATCAGTTATTATACACTTTTAAATACGCGCGTGTCAGGGTGGCTTGTGGTACAGGTGCAAGGCGATTTTCGGTAGTAATGCCGGATTATTTTGAAAACTAGTGTGTTATTATTTGATGGTACTTAGTCTTGTTTTGTTCATGTTCTATAAATAACATCGATGAAGACTGTAATGATTTGATATGACAGCTAGCATGTGTTGAATGAATCAAAATTGATAACCTACTCCGTTGTTGCCACCTGCGTCATCAAGTAACACGCAAGCAGGCCAGTAAATAGATCCACTTACCTCGTGGAATATTTTCAACAATTGTTGTTATTTACTAAATACGTTCAAAGTTAGCTGACGACAAAACAAACTCGTGGTGGTCACGTGAAAGCGGAGGAATCACGTTTGTTTGAGTATATTGGTCAGAAATGATAGCAAATGTCATTATCTTGGTAGATTGAATAATAGATTACGCTTTTCTCATAATTATATTCGATAATTGGCGTTGCTCCTTTTGGTATCATATCTTGAAAGAACAACGAGTTCTCCAGCCAATGAGGTGACGCCAAAAATTAAATCAGCCAATGGCGTTATAAATTATGTAACATAATAGCAAAGAGACATTAGGGTTCTCGATATCCCGATCATTCGACCCTTTAGTAGTGTCACCAAGGGAGTTACATTTGGGTTGTCTAATTATTGGATCCACTTGTTGTAAATGCGAAAACGTCGTAATCGACTTTCAACGAACAGCCAATCCGATTTTAGCACCCGCAAATTAGAGAAGATCAAAATTGCATCATCAGGACACCATGTTCACGGGGTGTGTTCTATAGATGGCAGTAAACTCACCTGTGTTTTCTGTGGAGGCTGAGTGACCTGTCCTCTCAGGCGATTCAAGGTCGTTTTCCTCTACCAATTAAAAATTATAGAATTGCACCAATCAAGCCACACCTCCGAATTTCACGAAAACCAATCCGACTGGCGATGAATCATAGACACTAAGAGTATGCGTTGCAAACTCACCTGTCTTTTCAGACGATGGTACGTAATCCTCTTCAGTGGGCTTGGCTTCATTTGCATCTGATAACGAAAAGATTGTTTGCTTACAACTAGGCAGAATGAGTCAGTCGTTTGCAGGCAAGATCTGGACCACTTTTGATCTGCTGAGGCACGAACTGAACAGTGTTTTAACGGAAGTCAGTGTAGTAAAACAAAGATTTACGTGGAATAGCATGACAAATGTTACAATAGGGTTGGAATCGTCGGACACAAAGAGAGTGGAAGATGCCGTATCTGTTGACCGCATGTTGGCATTTGCCTTTTAAGATTTAAAACGTCGCAACGAACGAGGATTAAGCATCTTCAGGAATATTAGAATTTGCGAGTTTTTCATCAAGTTAGAAAAATGGGGATTTGCCAGGGATCGAAGCAGTTTCAAGCGTCAAAAGAACCTTCTAGGAATGAGAAAATTGCTTTTTCAGAGGTGAGAGGTGAGGTTTATTTTTTGGTGAATCAACTTTGTGGGTGGTTTTAGGACCGAACCATTTCAGGAAACACAAAAGAATGGTTTTCCAGGAAACACGCAATCAGGGGACTGCTCCTATCCTGATTGTCATTCTTTAAAGTCACATCAAAGGGCATTAAATGGACAATCATTTCAAAATGCCAACCAGGTGTCAGTAGTCACATAAAAGTCTTCTTTTTCGTAACAATTCGATTGTTTTGCTTGCTTAATTGTCTTTTTCGACAGGGGAATTTTGAGATGAATTGAAAAAAAAGGAGCAAGTCATACAAAATAAGACAATCAACGCAAATGCAGGCGGATGATTGTGGTTTGTGTTAGGTGGTGTTAGTGCGTTAGTTATTAGCGCTAATTGAGCCAACGGCTTACTGTCTTCTATAATTCCATTTGCAGATTCCGAGTATGCAGCGTCATCTTCGACCTTATCCACTTCTATGGCAACTAAAATCATGAAAATGCATGCCTCGACAGCATTTTATGAAGCTCGTGTCCAATGCCTACCGGAATTCGCGAATAAGTCGAGTCGCTTGTCTTGGAAAGTTAGTATTTAAGTAGAATTTAAAAGTAGGAGTTGTGCCAACAAGAGATTTACATAGGCACGCTTTAGCCTACGGGTGTGGCAGCATAAAAAACTACGTCGATATGCACAAATGTAACCTTGAGCCGATTAGCCAATTGTAAAACTCGCGCTGTGCACACTGCACTAAACATTTCCAAAAATCGATACAGAGCGCGCAATTCATAAAAATGTGGAAAAAAAAACGTTAGGACGTTATCGAATCATGGTGTGCTTGTGGAAAGTGATAATTGCTGGTCAGAAAGCGCGAGAAGTGGTAACTTTTTCCTAGTCACAACCAATTTCAGTAAGAGGGTACATCGTGTTACCGCAACTGCAGTGGAGTGAAACAAATAGTTACGAGGACTAACATGACAAATGTCACAATATGGTTGGCATCATCGGACACAGAGCGAGTGGAAGATGCCGTATCTGTTGACCGCCTCAAAGCAGCTTTCCTTGACGCGTAAAAGCAACCAAACTACAGGCCTCAAGCTCAATCAACTCCCGTCTTTTCCGAAAATAAAGAGAGGGTTGCCACTGCACGCTACTGGAGACGTGCGTTTCGTGGCCAAATAGTTGCGCTCGCTTGACAGAAGGAATATCTCCAATTGCATTGTACAAAATGATCAATTTTTAGATCCCTGACAACGCTTGAGATCACGAAATTACATTTGGGTCAGCATGACTGTCGCCTGATGCAACAGTGACCAATTAATCGATTTTTGATTCCCTCCTAGCTTGCCACATTTCAGCCTCACACGCACTATTCTCAATTTTACTCTCCCTCTCAGAATTGCTGTTGGAGGAAAAGGTTCATCAGATCCTTTAACCACAGGGGGAGAGCTGTGGCGAGCGAACACGAATTCAGTCGATATACCTCTGTGTGAAGTTTGTGCTAGCACATAGAAAGCCACGACTTATTAACCTGTGCTAAACACACTGTAACCGTGTCAATAAACCAGTTGAGCTACGCGTGATCAGTCAACTTTTCTCTTTCATGTTCACCCATTGTCTGTGTTGGTTTCCTGGCTCCGATGCGGTTTAAGGACCATAGTAGGGCCCTAAACACACCAATAAGTCATTTCAAGGTCATCTCAAGGTCGAGAGTAGGAGTCTTAAGTGGCAATAAATTGAACTTACGCTTGATGAAGCTCATAACCTCCTTCCACTGACCTATTTCCTCATTCCAGTTGCTAGGAGATGCTGAAAAGAAAACTGGCGTGTGTTGGAAAATCAGGGGGTCGAATTTTTTGCCGTTTGTCGCCATCTCTCCCAGACACACCAGTAGCATCTTCTTCACCCACCAAGGCTGCATAGTTAGGAGCACGAGCAGGCGGGGATAGATTGCGTCGAGGAGACAGATTTTGCTTCCCGGGATGACAAATATCGCACAGTCGGAGAGTTCTAGTGCCTGAGTAAAGTTGTCAAAAGTCGCGTCCAAATCCTTGTCTCCCATGGATTTGGTCGCGACGCTAAACAGACCCAGTTCGGCCTGGGCTTTGGCAGCGAGGCGTTGTGCAAAAACCTCGGAAATATCGTTGGGAGAGGGGGAAACGCCGTTGCCAACAGTTAGGGCATGGGGCGTAAATACAACGAGGTGATTTGACGTCGACATTTACCGAAAGGCAGGCTCTACACACCTGATCCAGACGCTGCTGCCACAAGCGGCAAACCACTTGAAGATGCCAAGATTACCACATTCATCTTCAAGCCTGGCAGCGCGATTCAGTGGTTGGTGCAATCGGTAAGACCCAATAGGCGACTGTGAGGAAATAAAAGGAGTTACTATTGTTTCCTGATGTCTGGATTGGCTAAAGACGCTACTCGAGTTATTTAATTGGTTAGTGCATTTACTGCTAATTGGGCGTTGCCCTCAAGGTCACCATATGTGGAAGAATGTGAAAAATGAAGACTTTAAGTGGTATAATGATGCAAAGACACATGTTTCCCCAATTTACACGGACATACTTGCCATCTAAAAGCTATTTTTTTACGGGGAGGGACAAATGAACTCGTGTTAAAAACGTTATGTACTCTCATTGCAACGTCCGAATGCGTTGATATTTTATTTTCATAAATCGGGTGCGGACAATTAATCTCAATTTCCTTCAGAAAAAAGCAATCCGTTGACGTCTTTTGAGAGTAATTTCAGATACGTTCCATCAAGTGCCTTTTAAGGAAAAAGGCGTATCTTCAAAACCCATCATTTAGTTTAAATTTTGACTTATTTCAACTTAACAGTTTGTACTCCTGGATCAGTGCACAAATAATCGATAATCCTCCGTCTCATTAGAACCAATCAAGTTGAGCAAACAGTTCTGAAACCTTGCGACGTGGTTATCGATCCGTGCAATCAACGAATAGGCCCAAACTGGCAACGCGACATACTTTAAGCGGTGGGCTACTCGACTCAAGGCACAAGACAACGCGACGGTAGCTAAGGCGTGCCTGGCTCGTGCTGATGTTGCCAAACCAAGCACGAGGTGGCGTTAGTGGACCTCCAATGTGTGGTTTTCAAGTTCGAGTTATTACCTCCTTACAAGCTTTTGTGATTAAGTCGTTTGACTTATAGGACGGCAAGGACAAATTTGCTTTATCTGATATCACGCAGTGGAAATTTGAACCCTGCAGCAAAAATTAAACTTTCTTGTCTGAAATGTTAATTCCACTTGATCGCCCCACTCTTTACGTTTGCTGCTATTCTTAATACCATCTTACTGATGTCTGGCAGTATATACTCCTACGCGACGCGCAAAAGAGCTAAAAGCTATTGAAGAAAATTTAGATTTAAAACTATAAATACCAACTTTACTGTGTTTAAATATTATGAACAGACCAATGATAAACTACTGGTAGGAAGAACACGATCAAATGATTTCGGTGTTGTGTTCAAGATGATCATATCCCATGTCATTGACTAACGAGGACTAGCACAATCAGTGGAGGTCTTTCCGAACAGGTGTTACCTCTCGCCATAGGACACGATGCGTCACTGGGCTGTAAACATAAGCCAATGAAAATGAAGGCTGATTGACATCTACCAATCAGATTGGGACAAGATAGTTCGGGCAAGATTCTACGTGCACGTGTCCACTAAAAAGTAGTCCAATGAATGAGCGTTAGTCGTCGGCGCAGATTTTTCGCACACAACTTTTTAAATTGCGAGCGCAAGTTGTAACACCATGCAGAATAAAACAAGTTTTAGCCAAGAAATTTGAAATAGAATCATTAAATTAGGAGGCACATTTTTTTTTGTCGAAATCACGAAAAATCCTGGTTTTTGCAGATTTTGACATCGAAATACAGGGCTAGTTAAAATTCCCGCTTAACCTGAAACCGCCTTTCCAGCAGGTCAACCAAACACATAGTGTCTTCAGTCGGAAGCTAGCACGTCCTCTTCGACGAAAGTGATTTTGTGCGGCACTTTGAGGTGGTCAAATGCCAAACGTCAACCAATCTCTTGGCTTCAGTAAAGTTATGCAAGGTAGGAACGGCATTCGTTAAGGAAGCTGGTTTTTAAGAAGATTTAGTGTCGACGAGAGTGGGATTCTCTTAAAAAAGGAACTAATGCACATATCCGGTTCACGTTGTCATAGAAACTGAATTCTTGATTTGGTTTTACCACGCTAAGACCAGTACCCTTCGTCTTCTTCAAGCTCTTTGGTAATCTAGACAAGTTTCACCAATCCATTCTTTGTCAAACATGATTGATGGTTAAAAAATGATATATTTTTACTAGACAGAAGCAAGAAACGCCAATAAGATCGACAAAGTGGAAATATACTACAAGTACAACACATCGTCATTAGCGCCATGTTGCAAGTAAATCATGTTTTTAAGGCTCATGTGAAGTAGTCTCTAGTATGATCCTATTTTGAACCCAAACGGCTGGTAAGTTATGATCTTATTGGATGAAGTGTGAAGCATTTACAACAAGTGGTGCGTTCTGCCTGCTGATTTGATCGATAGTGGAATGGACACAGGGCATTAACTCGAATTCAACTGGTTGAGATGCCCTCGATGACGTAATTGAGGGCATCCAATGATTTTTTTAACTGAGCATATTTACACAAATGAAAATGTCATGCGTAACAAAGCAATTTTGTACGATTTTAAGCCAACATTGCGTTTCAAAGAAAAGCACAGGAATTATTAGCTGAGGATCAGGTGCAGCGAACAAATGAAATCAAATTTAACCCCTTCCGCTAGACCAATCACGAAGTTCTAGTACTTATCGATCGTTTAGGTTATTTACTGAGTACATCCCAGCACCATGAAAATGTGTCCCGTCATTAGCCTCAAGGAACACGTTTTGCGAAACAATGCGATAGTTGTATAGAACGAATCCTACTGTCCGACTTTTCGGACAATCTGGAAATCTTTCGCAGTCACTTAGATGCATTGACGTAATTGCCAACGTTGAATGTAAATATCATCTGAATTTGCACAAACAAACGTTTTTGCTTGTTTTTAGGAATCGGTCGTCCTATTTCGACAAGTGGTTTGCCTGTTTTGACTACATTTTAGGCTTGTTTGCTAATCAAACCGCATGATTTACTTACCGTTAACATATGAGTTGGTCGCTTGGTTTCCTAGGAACCCAGATGGCTTCGACGTGGTTTGTGCTGATTCATCGTGACTGGCACAAGATGGGATGTCATTTCTTGAGATCACATACCTTCAAAATCTGTAATTTTTTTTTTAAATTACTTATTAACGATGACGTTCATGAGACACGATGGTCCCTTTTCAGGAAATTAGCCTTGATATCAAAACACTCGCCCGAAATTGTCCAGTTAATATCGTGCGAACACACACCAAAGCTCACGATTAGAACTCGGTGATATGTAGGGGGTTCACTACAATTGGTGGGCTAGATTGTTGGCCGACTTGGATCTGACCTCTAAAAGTGCGGGTTGCAGCTTCACTGGATGTTTACACTCCGGGGTGTTTGTCATGTCATAAATGTTTGTCGTATTTGTCGTGCGTACACACCACCGCCGCCACCACCACAACTGGCACAGTGAACGCGCACACGCATTACGAAGGATTTAAATAGCCTGCACATTACCTGCAAGGCTGTTTTAAGGTGATGTCACAGCCCCGTCCAGGTGATATGGATGTCCACGTTGAAGACGCCAAGCATGCCACTGGACGGACCGTTGACGGTCTCCTGGAGGACGTCGTGAAGCCCTTCGGCTGTTGGCAGTTCGTTGTCCTGATGCTTGGCATCTGCACCGACATCCCCGCCGCCATCTTCCCCATCTACGCAAACTCGGTGCCTTCCAAGTTCCGATGCCAGGTAGAACCGCACATTCAGCAGCTGCTCCTCGCCAACCAGACGGATTTTGTCAATTTGAATAGCGGGGTTCTAGACCCGAAGGGACCCCCCGAGCTAGTGGGCAATCAGTACGCCTTCCCGTTCGACGACATCGCGGCTGCCACCGGACCTTGGGGTAACCAGACGAAGGCACCGGGGTGCTTTCGATACAAACGAGACTACGACAGGGTCAAGAGGCTGGAAGAATTTTTTTCCGTCCCAAAATCAGTGTCTGTTGAGGCCTGTCCTCACGGTTACGTGTACGAGGCAGACAAGTTCCAGTACCCCTCTGGAATAGTGATCGAGTGGGACCTGGTTTGTGATCGGGAATGGCTTGCGCCGTTAAGCACCTCACTGTACATGCTAGGCATGGTTCCTGGATTTTGGATTGGTGGAATCCTTGCCGACTCCATTGGACGACGTCCCACCGCCTTGGCTTTCTGGACACTTCAGGTTGTTGTCGGGGTGTTGTGCTCCTTCGCCCCGAATTTCACATCGTATGCAGTCTTCCGTTTCCTCCTTGGGCTAACCTCCGTGGCCAGAGCCAATGTTCTCCTAATCCTTCCGGGGGAACTGACTGTAGCCAAGTATCGATTTATTGTCTCCTCAAGTATGTGCATTGTCCAGAGCTTCATAAATCGTGCTCTGGTTACGCTAGTAGCTTATTTCCTTCCTTACTGGCGTTGGGTCCATCTGGCAATTACGTCACCGCTTGCAATAGGAATTCTGCAAATTTGGCTTCTACCGGAGTCGCCACGGTGGCTTTTGGCCAAAGGCAGGCACGAAGAAGCCATGGACACCCTCTATAAGGGCTACCTCATCAATAGACGTGGATGGTTCTGTTGGAAGCAGCCGAAACCAAGGAATTTGACCTTAACAGAATTTCGGAATCACTTCTTTCTCGATTCCGAGGGCGTGGACAAGGATGACAAGGAGAAACGACGCAATCCCTGCGTTCGATTTCTCGATGGCCTACGGCGTCCCTATCAAACAGCATACCTGACTCGGGTCAGTCTGATTGCGACCTTCCTTTTCACGGCTCAGGCAGCCTGTCTGTTTGGGGTGCTTCTCTACGCACGCATCATCCGCAGCTACGTTTACTTGGTGGCTTTCATAAACAATCTAACCGGAATACCTGGTGCCTTTCTATCTGCCATCCTCTATGCCAAAATTCGTCATAGAAAATTGCCTCTGATGATTGTGTACCTGTGCGCTTCCTTCTGTCTTGCCGCTGGCGGTATTTACGCACTCTTGACACCGCATAGCAACGACATTGGGCTCACCATCTCTTCCAACCTAGGACTCATTCTCTGCACCGCGATAACTAATATGATCCTCACGTATATTCCAGAGCTGTATCCCTCGTGCATCCGTTCCCAGGGTCTAGGCAATGCTGCCGGCCTTGGAAGGTTCGGCGCGACCCTTGGAACCTTCATCAACGAACTGGATGTCCAGCTATCCCATGGAACGCCCCTCATAATCTACGCGGGCTTGCTGTTGTTGGCGTTAGTAGCACTCATATTCCTGCCCGACACCACTGGGGAGAATTTGGTCGACAGATTTGAGGAGAGGAAAGCGCCAGAGGACGATCGGCTCGAAAAGACCTAGGACGTTATCGTGTCAAGGCAGATTGAGAAAGCGTTTCGGAAGCACCAAATTCAACTGAAACATGTTTTGGATAGGCCATTTATTCAATTTTGCTAGCTCTCCAACTTATTTTAAAACTCTTATTTCTTCATCTTAACAAATTAATGATCTGATGGTTCACGCATGATCAAGTTGGCTTTGGTAAAATACAAGGCTGTGATCAAATAATGACCTTTGTCAAATTCTCAGTATTGTCGAAGCTTGTGGAAGCAGCGATGAAGCTAACAAATCTAGCCCTCTTACGCTACGCTAATAGCCGTGGAGATGAAGAAGAAGGAAGAGGGAGAGACAAAATTGTATACTGAACAGCTCAAGCACGTTGTGGTGGTACATCTACAGGGGCGAATGATCAGACGGTCGCGCATGGCTAACGGGAGCTTCCTTGTGAATGCATTTTCGTTTTACTGCAATTTCGCTCGGCGGTGATCAAGTTGCTTTCACACATTTTTATCTCCTCTGAGATTCCACCACATTGTTTAAAATCTGCCGAATTTCTGGCGGTCACATCAAATTCGCATGAAGGTTGTTCGCCAAAATATGCAAATGGCTGGCCTTGAAAGTTCGTGGAATTTTAGCTGGTAAACAAGTAACGGAGATGGTTGTTTAATCTTAATCTGTCGTGCTTTTTGTTTGCTAAACGAAACTCATGAAGTGGCTAAGATACATGCCCTCAAGCCTGGTTAAATTAAATTTGTACGCAGCTGACTTGACATCCATAATTAAGTTGTGCGATGCTGAATTTGCGCAGCCTTTAATGGCTTCTTAGTGGCTTTTTTCCAAAATTCTGAAGGCATAGAAGCTTCCAAGCACTCAGTTTCGTAACGAATTTGCCACCTAGCAAACACATCATTCACTTTCACGCCAGCGATCTCTGTCGTCCTAAATAAAAGACGGTATTCAAGCTCAATTTTCAGACAACAGCGGTCTCGTGGATACCTGTCTAGACACCTGAGTGATTCTCACTACGACCATTTAACCCAGTGTGGAGGCATATACTAGAAGATTGTTAGACCGTCAACTGTGTTCGCACTTCACCTTCATGGCACTTCTGAACCAAAATGTCTTTTACAAATTCCAGTGTGTGGAGGTATAAACACATGTGTATATTAAGATGCTTGACCAGTAAACACAGGAGGAGCCTTCGAAAAACATTTTCTGACGGAATGCAGCAATTTTTTAAAGATAAGAGCATTTTTAATCGAGTTGTGATGATTCTATTCTCACTAATCTGCAAAATTCGTCACCACCATCATGAAAGAGACGCATTCTTCACTCTCTCCGACCCATTCTTCTTCTTATTCTTCACCTTGGCTCTTTCAGAGTGCTGAAAAGTTGGCGATAGCCGCGAAAAAAGGCCAAATTTGGCAATCAGCTGCAAATTTCACTTTTCTGACATTCGAAACACGAATTTAGCATATATATGTGATTTTCGTTAATCGGGTCGCCGGTATAATTTTGCGGGGCGGGTGATTTATTCAAGATGAAACCCCACAACTGCGGAGTCAGTACACAAACGGTGTGTGAGCAGTTAGCGGCTATAGATCACTGGGTCTTAAAAGTAGGGCAGCTTAATCCGTAACTCATTTTTGTTGAACCGGCTTGTAGAGGCTGTTGTAGGAAACTAATTGTGACTATTTTGTATTTAGCAGATTAAAAGGCTTGGGAAGGGTGTGTGCTGTAAGTTCGTCCATTAGTGATTACATACAAGAGTGCTTAATCGATTGATCAGGCTGGCCTAAGCCTAGCCACAGGGTTAAATCGGATTTTTAGTCGATTTCCTTATCAGTACTCGATATATATATATATATATATATATATATATATATATATATATATATATAT